CCGTACGCTATGGCGGCGTCCTCCATGATGTCACAGGCGTGGATGACATCAGCGCGCGTGGGCGGGATCTCAACCTGGATCAGATCGCCCTCACCGCTGACCTCTGACCTCAAACACATCCGGGTCAGCAGCTGAGCGATGCTTTCTGCTGATTCACTGAGAAACAACACAGAGAGCGTGATCAGGGTTCAATCGTCTGACCGGAGCTGAGAAAGAAATCTGTCATCTCTAATGAGCTCAAATGAAAGATTTATAATGTGCTCACTTGATGCCAACTCTTTTGTTGATGAAGTCCCCAGACAGTGTCTCTGTCCTGTATGCCAGCTCCTGAAGTCAAAGTCGACAGTCAGCAAATGACAAAACGACTTTCAAATAAGGCAGAATTTATTAATAATAATGTCATGACTAATGTTGCTTTAATCTGGATTTCATATTTATTCATACAAGTTAAGCTCTATCAACAGAACTAAAAACGACAGATTTGTTTTTATTTAAAAATTAAATCAATTTTATTAATACTTTTATTTAGCAAGGATGCATTAAATTGATGTTATAATGTTATATCTCAGATAAATGCTTTTGTTATTTAGATGAATTATCCTGAAAAACAAGTTCATTTTTGGTTGAACTATCCGTTTAATTCCAGTGTGGTTAGTTAGTGTAATTACTATCAAGTTAAAAACTGAATACATACAGGATACACACACAATCTGCCATCAGGATAAACAACCTCTGCCTCCTCAACCCTGAATAAAGAGAAAAACATGTTAAAACAAACACATTTCAGTACTGAACAATATACTCACTGGCTGAATCCAAACTGGAGATGCTATAAAGCAATACAGAGTGTGTAACTTGATACGCACGTGAATGGTTCATCGCAGTATTCACTAAACATGGTCACTATCATATCCAGCGTGATCTTTGCCTGCAAACACACACAGAAACCGTTTCTCATGTTTAAAAGCATGCTGTAGTTCTTAGCTAATTTTCAGGATTATTTGATGAATAGAAAGCTCAAAAGAACAGCAGTCATTTGTAACATTAGAAATATCTTTACTGTCACTTTTGATCCATTTAAAGCATCATTACTGAATAAAAGTATGATTTAAAAAAAAAAAAAAAAAAAAAATTGTACAGGCTCCAAACGTTTGAACTGTAGTGTATATTGTATTATTACAAAATAAATAGTAATAAAAACATTATAACAGTAAAACGGTTTACCTTTGTGAGGTCCGTGGCCGTGCACTCAATGAAAATGTTCTTTGTGTTTAATGAGATTTTGCTGTGGTCCCCTGAGAGAGAGAAATACAAAACTTTAGACTAACAGTGTTTAAAAAAAAAACAGCTCTATCTGCAGAAAACTGGACAAAAAAAAAATCTAAAATGTTAAACAGAAAAAATGGTGTGTGTGTGCACATCTATCCATGCTCCTGTGAATGCATACTGTATGTGTGTATTTAACTCACCGTTGATGATTGGAGGCATAGACAGGACGATTCCATTACTGTCGTATATGATTGGGTAGAGAGGTTCATTCTCCATGATATGCAGGTAGTGCCTCAGATGACTGTCAGTCTACAAGACATTAAATATTCAAAACAAAAAACTTTTTTGTTTGTTTCAACTTGTTAAATGTTGCAGTCTGGGGGAAAAAACTCAACAAACATACAAGATTAGACATAAATATGTTGGCAAATAAGCTACTAATATACTAACCAATCAGATTTCACTTCACAGTAGGAGACTTGACAGACTGTGGCCAATCAGAATCCATCTGGCCCAGCATTACTTGAGTATCATTGATGTACTATTATAGTTGTTGTTAATATGTTGAATTTGTTTTTATTTTTACATTTTCTGATTTCATTTTAATTTAAAAGTTTAGTTTTGTTTTTATTTTTTCTTATTTAATTACCTTATTATATAGTTTTTAGTTATGTTAGTACTTTAGCTTAAACAAAACGAAAATTAGAAATGTTGCCCTATTATAGTTGCAGTTAATATTTTGAATATTTGTATATTTTCTATAGTTGTCATTTTAATTTGAAAGTTTTAGTGATTGCATGTTTGTGTCATTTTTATTAAATATGTCTCTACGGTCTTTAAGTTTTGTAGTTATTTTAATACTTCAACTGAAAATAGGAAATGTTGCTCTATTATAGTTTTTGTTAATATTTTGAGTAAAATTGTATACATTGTTTCATTTACAATTTCCTTAAACTTTTGGTAACTTTGTTGTTTTTGTCATTTTTATTATTATTTTATTTAACTATGTCTATATAGTGTTTCTTTTTTATTATTAAGTTTTAGTTTTTAATTTTAGTTATTTTAGTACTTCAACTTAACTAAACGAAAATAAGAAATGTTGCCATGGCAACTAGCGGAATTTATATATATATTTTTTAATATTTGATTTTATTTGAAGTAATGAAAATGCTGATTTAATGGTAATAACCCTGATTGAACAGCCAATCAAATCTCACCTTATAGTGACTCATGAGCTCAGCGGCGGTGTACTCTTTGCTCTGATTGAGCGGTTTGAAGCGGATATCGCCGGGAGGTTTGGCTGTGTAGGTGAATGGACCAGAGATGGTGTCTAAATCATGAGTTCCTATGGCAACCAGGGTCCTTTTCCTGATGAGAGAAGAGCAGAGTGTTAAACCTCAGAATCGGCAGTGCAACTTCTCACAATAACCCAGCGAGTGATCTGATGACTCACCTGCAGATGTTCTGGTGCAGCTTCTCCTGCAGCTCTATGAAGCTCTCGTATCGTTCCTGAGTGAAGGTGATGTTGCGCAGTACAGCTGCTACAGCGTGTGGCCTCACAGACGCCGTCTAGATAAACACGTAATATTATCTCATATCAGCACCGCAGCCATTACATTAATTTAAATGATCTCCCTCCATTCTTCACTACGGCTGATGGCTTCTCACTGTACTTGAGCTCCTAAGAAATCAATATAATTAAATCTCTAAGCTGCAATACGACACTGATATGAACCTCCTCAGTTATGACCAGCCGCTGGGGCTCTCCTCAGTCCGCCGGACTCACACGCTTGTACCGGGGAGCTTCCAACCTACAAACACAACAAAACCAGTCATATAAAGACAATAACACTCAATCTGACAGCAGAACCACACACACTGAGTCTTACTTCTCCTTGAAGACCTGCAGACCCCTGACGAGACCCTCCAGACACAGGAGATCGTAGCGGTTAGCTGGCACATCGATCTTATACAGCACAACATCAGACGCTCCTTCTGCCTTCTCATCTCCCTGTTCACGGCTTAAGATTTCCTTCTCTGATGTCTAAACATTGAGAGACAGACAAAATAATCCGATTTTTAATTCAAATTAAATGTTTACATTTTAAATTTAAATTAATCAGTAGCTCTAACATCAGTTTTGGAAAATAACAAATTTCTGTAATGATTTTCTAAATATTTAATTAATTTTAATTTAATTTAAATGAAATATTTATTTTATTATATAAATCATTTATATATAACTAAATTACTATCTATCCAATAAACTGTATATATATATATATATATATATATATATTACACAAATACACATTATTATATAAATACTAGAAATTATTTATATATATTTACTATATTATATAAAATAATAGAAATTATTTAAATATATTTATATATAATGTATTTACTTGACAAAAGTCCAAACAGGCCTTTGTCAGGGTGTTGATTTTTTTCTTTGATTATGTTAAAATTTCTAGTTATAAATATATACATTTATAATTTTTTACATTTTATTATTACTATAACACACACACACACACACAGTGTGTGTGTATAAAATTACATAGCTGTTAAAACTCTTTAATAACAAAGACAGTTTGTAAACAAATACAGTTTCACATGACTTACGATTTCGTCCAGCTCGAGGCCAAACTCGAAACATAGTTCATCAAATTCTTCATCAGCTAAAATGTGATTAGAAAATAAAATGTTATTATTTAAATAAATTGAAAATAAAGAATTACTTAAAGCCTGAAATTCTGAGTCGCATTGTGATTGCGTCATCAATGGGCTTCCAATTTGACATCTCAGCTTTTCAAATGAATTAAGCATAAAAACTACATTACAAGACATAAAGCATTACAGTATTCAAGCAGCACCAGACTAGAAAATTACATATTAAATATAAAACAAAATCTTCACTGACTTCGGTAAAATCTCGGAATAAATTGAATCTGATGCAATCGCTGAGACACACCGGAGAAATGTATTTTAAATTCGTTTTGAGTTTCAAAATGAATTCGTTCAGTAACGATGAGATGGACCAGTGGAATAAGTGATCTATAAAATGTAATCAGTATTATTAAGATATTCCTCATCGTTTCGCCAGATGCAGGTCACAATCACCCAATCACACACACGCACATTGAGCACAATCTCCCTGCTAACAACACACTCGAGAATGCGCTCACCCTATTAAACACATACATGTTAAACACTTACTGTATTTCTGTCCCAGAGCTTCAAAGAGCAGATCTCTCTTCACGCTGACTGTCGGCATGGTCGCAGCTGATCACCGGGGTCTGATCGGATCCGGAGAGGGTCGGTCGAGCGTCGCAGGAACTCTACATTTCAAAATAAAAGACCACATGGAACAACATGTAAAGGTAAAAGGCCTAGATTTAAAAAATAAAAGTCCCAACTGGACACTTGAAAATTCACGTTGACATGAAAACCTTTCTTTTAATAATAATAATAATAATAATTAATAAGTTATGCATTTAGCAGACTAAATTTACTTTCTTTTAATAATTGTTTAATTCGTGTGTATTTTATATGACGGAGATTTTTGGGGATATTTATTTATTTATTTAAAAATATTCGGGATGGGGATATTGCCAGATTCCTGTGTTAAAATATTGCTGAAATAAATAAACAAATATATAATAATGTCTGTCAGTGACCAACGTCTCTACAGTTCTCCGGTCCGCGGTGTGGCGCTCTCTCCCCGCGCGCTGCCGCGCTCATCACGCATCAACGTTCGTGGACGGCTGCGTCGAGTTTCTGAGCGTCAATCTCATGCGGCCTCCAATTCGAAAATCCAGTTTACACATGTTTATTCGGGTCCAGGATAATATATCCAAAGACATATTGAGTTAATAACGCTCATGGACATGGAAGCGGTGAACACCTTTAACGGGGAGGTGAGAATTCGCGTTGTATTTGCCGTTTACCCTTTACCATTAGCCGAGCGCGCGCGCCGAGCGACTCCAAAACAATCCGTGTTTATGTTTGTTTGTTGTTCACTGATGGATAAATATCATAGTTTTTTGCTCGTTAATATTCTAAAGTCAAATAAAACCCGGAATATAGTTAAACAGGTGTGATATTAGTATGAATGAAGTTAGTTTGTTTAGTGACCTTCCACCTATTTGTGCTGTCAAACTGCGCTTCATTAAAATTAGTTTGAGCGCTTACAGCACGTTTATGGTTTATAGAGAGATTATTCAAGGGATACATAATATTTTAAGTGATTTAATCTAGTTTTGACGTGTTCGTTGTATTAGAATTGAATGTAGAGGGAATTGCAGTGGCGCCCCCTATAGAGTCAGATACCTACCTGATCAACTTTATTGATGGTGTAATCAAGTCTTATAAAGGTGTTTCTGAGCTCAATACAGAGATCTGCCGTTTTCATTGAGTTTGTTATGAGGACAAATGCGTGTTTTATTCATTTTGACGTTGTCTATGTTCTCAGAGGTTTTTGAGTTTGAGCTGACAGTTTTGCATGTCATTTCGGATGTTTTGGTCTCAGTTCTTGGTCTACATTTCTTATGAGGGTAAATTTGACATTTCTTCATCCTGCTTTCTACCCTGTAGATGCTGTCCATGTTGGACATGACTCCCCCGATCTCTCGAGCCAAAATGATGTCTGTAACCAAAGCAGGAATCAAAGCTATCAAGGTAAGTCAGGACGGAAAATAGGAAAGGGAAGGGATCTTGATCAATTATGAAGAATTATTTGAATATTATTTAAAGAATTATTTGAATTATGTTCCTGTTATTTTGAGTTTGCAGTGATTCTTTTATCTAAAAATGGGTTTAAAGAATCTGTTTTACGAGCACAATCATATACTGATTGTGTTTAAAAGAATAGTACACATTAAAATGAAAATTTGCTGAAAATTAAATCAACCTCATGGATCCTCTGCAGTGAATGGGTGCCGTCAGAATGAGAGTCCAAACTAGTGTTGTTTTTGGCGGCCTGTTTTAATTTTAGTTTCAGTCTAGTCTTTGTGTGAAACTGTCATTTTAGTTTTTATTAGTTTTAGTCACGTTCATACTCTTTTTAGTCTAGTCAAGTTTTAGTCAACTAAAAGTCAGCATTTTAGTCTAGTTTTAGTCGACGAAAACTGATGACATTTAGTCTAGTTTTAGTCAATGAAAATTGTATTTTAGTTATCTTATTATATTATTGTTACCTTATAGACTCAAGAATACATCCATTGCATCTCTAATTATTGGCGACATTAGAAATGGATATTATATAATAGCTGCTCTCGACAGGTGCGGCACCCCGGTTGGGAAACACTGCTCTAAATAATGCCGCGAGTGGGGCTTGAGGAAGTGACGTCACCTGCGTCTGCGCAGTGCGACTTGATGCAGCCCCTGAAGCGAGACACAGGAAACAGAAATACTGCAAAATAATAATAATAACGCGACTAAACGAGACGAAATAACGTTATAACATTTCGTTTCGTCTCGTTTTGGTCAACGAAAATGAAGAGACATTTTAGCATAGTTTTTATTTTGTAAACCACATTTAGTCTCGTTTTTATTCGTCAACGATATTGCATTATACATTTAATTATAGTCATCGTCACATGACCAGCATTTTCGTCTCGTCTCGTTTTCGTCACGTGATAAAGGTTCGTTGACGACGATATTTAGTCATAATTTTCGTTGACAAAAGCAACACTAGTCCAAACAGCTGATAAAAACATCACAAAAATCCACATGAGTCTAGTCCATCAATTAACATCTTGTGAAGCCAAAAGTTGCATGTTTGTAAGAAACAAATCCATCATTAAGATCTTTTTACTTAAAATCATTGTTTTCTGGCTTAAATACAAGACCTCTATCCATAATGTTGCTTTCTCCAGAGGCAAACTCATCTCATCTAGATCAGGGGCCCTTCGTTCGTACGTTGTTTATTACATCCGAGATGAAATGTCACATCCAAGATGATATCATCGCGCTAATCAGGATCTGGCTAATTCGGTTCTTCGAACGCAGCTGTTGTTGATGATCGGTCAAGGTCAAGGTCAGTTTATTTATATAGCACATTTAAAAACAGCTAGTGTATGCCAAAGTGCTGTGCATATACAAATAAAGTAAATATAGAGATTAAGAGAATAAATAGAAATGACTCAAAAACACATAATCAATACAAAACACATTAACATACACAAACATACATTTCATCCAAAAGCCAAGGAATACAGATAAGTCTTCAGGCGGGATTTAAAAACAGGAAGGGAAGGCGCAGATCTAATGTCCAGAGGTATGCTGTTCCATAGTCGAGGACCGGCTACAGAAAAAGCCCGATCCCCCTTAAATTTCAAGCGAGAGCGAGGTATATGCAAGAAAAGTTTATCAGAGGATCTGAGAGAGCGAGAGGATTGCTGATAGCTGAGAAGTTCGGACAAGTATGATGGGGCTAGATCATTTAATGCTTAATACACAAATAATAAATTTGAAATAAAAAATTGAATAAAAAATACTAAAATTAGTATAGCTGGATTGAGTTATCTGAGATAATTGCGCGTTCATGGGTTGGTTTAAAAGGGGTTATGTATCGATACTCGAAACCACGATCAGCAATGCAGCGATTGGCTGGCGTCATATTATTAAAAAAGACACCTGACGAAAAACTTGACAAATTTCTGGAATTTTAATCCAAGCGAACAAAACTACATAAATGTTATAATAGATAAATGAAATGTGCACTGTTTTTATTTTATTTAAATTTTTTACATGAGTCCCAATTATTTATATTCACAATTTCTAATATTTTACACTTTATTTCAATGTAGTAATTAGCAATTCATTTAATTTTATATTTGAACAGATTTGTTACGTGACAGCATTAATTAAAGTTTTTTTTAAAGGTCAAGATCATGTTATCTGCATCTCCTGCGCTCTATCAAGCCACTCCCATAATAGCTGTCATCACTCGATGCCAAATCATCAACAATCAAATCCAGCTAACTGAGTTAGCGACCTATGAAGAACGGGCCCCAGGAGAGAAATAAGCACAGATCAAGCACTGTTTACAAGTCAAAACAAATACATCAGTGGGTTTTGATGTAAGAGGACAACAGGTGATGGACTTTTTCACCGGAGGAAGCGTTATGGATGATGGTCTTGTATTTTTGCCAGAAGTGACTAAATCAGCTGTTTGGACTCTGATGGCACCCATTCATTTTGTACGGTAGAAGAGAAATTAATTAATTCTCATTTAAGCCCAGTTTTCATGTGTTGTCTGTTTATTGATTTAGATTTTTTCTCCCTTTTATTTCTCATACCTATTGGTGTTTTGACATTTTTTGTGACCACACTTTAAATACACAGCACTTGCATTTCTGTTAACATTTTGTTGAATCTTTCTTTTGTGACTGAGTTTTCATGATTTATTTGCTTTGTTAGCTTTACAAGCACGTTGTTCAGATCGTGGAGAAGTTCATCAAGAGGGTATGTAATAAATATACTGACATTCTTGTACTGATGATTGCTGTTATGGGAAGGTAAAGATTGAATGTTTTTCTTTTTTCCATCAGTGTAAACCAGACCTAAAGGTTGCTGGTCTCTATGTGGTCGACTCAATTATCCGACAGTCACGCCATCAGTTCGGCACAGACAAAGATGTGTTCGGTCCGAGGTTTTTGAAAAACTTCACTGTTACATTTCAGAACCTTTTCCAGTGCCCAGCTGATGATAAGGTACTGAATAATTACATCCAGTGAAATGACAGTGAGGTGTTTCTGTGCTGGTGGATTTTATTGGTGCATTTTTTTGTTGAAATGTAGGGGAAGATATTGCGTGTGTTGAATCTGTGGGAGAAGAATGACGTGTTCAGCATGGATATCATTCAGCCGCTGTTAGTCATGGCCACAGCTCCTGTACTACCTGTTGTGGAGAATGGAATCACAGCTGCCGGTAAATAAGCACAAGAATTAAATGTTGGCTTATGTCATTATGCTTTACTCTTAAAGGGGTCATATGATTCGATTTCAATTTTTCCTTTCTCTTTGGAGTGTTACAAGCTCTTGGTGCATAAAGAAGATCTGTAAAGTTGCAAACACTAAAGTCTCAAAACCAAAGAGATATTCTTTATAAAAGTTAAGAGTTAACCACGCCTACCTAAAACGGCTCGTTCTAACACGCCCCCACATACCTACGTCACGATCTGGGAAAATTTGCATAACGCCGCCCAAATGTTAACGCAAAGAAAGAAGGCGTAACTTTATTCTCGCTGTAGTATTGTTGCCGCCGCCATGTCGTGAAGACGCTGTGTATTTCGTTGTGAAAGC